CAAACAACAAAAAACCCTAGAGGCAGAAGCAGCACGTGCATCTCCCAGACCCAGAAATATTTATTATAGGTAATGGCTGCAGCAAAATTAATAAGCTTTAGAAAGCAACATAACATCTCCGGGATCTATGGGAGCGGGACAGGGAAGGCAGCTCTGTACATCAGGCAGATGGGGCTCGAGGAGCAGCTCCAGGGCCAAGCAGGAGCAGCCAAGCCCCCGTCCCGCAGTGCCCCCGGTGCCCCCCAGCCCTGCACAGGAACCGGATCCCGGTGGAAGTGTCACCGTCCGGCTCAGCTGGGTGAGGAGGACACGGCAGACACTCCCTGCTCAGCCCAGCGCTGGCTGCCGTCCAGGCCGGTAGCTCTCCCTCAGGAGTCATTGTAGGTAAACAGCATTAGAATGAGCTTGTTTGCACAAGAGCTGCTCCGGCAGCGGCTGGAAGGACGAGTTACAACCAAACCCACAAGCCGCAGCTGCCGCAGCAGCCGAGCATCCCGGCCGGATGGGCTGCAGGGCCATGGAATTTCACCGGCACAGCCCCGACCCCCCAGCTGGCCGTGGGCACCTCCCGCTACGGCAGGGCAGCAGCACTTCCCAGTGCAGCCTTGGGAAAAGATCCTCACTGGCTGCTGGAGCAGCGGGAACCAGCCCAGGCAGCCCACGGTGCCATCAGCTGGAAAGGAGAACTTACCTTTAGGTGTGTTTGTGGAAAGGGGCTTTGGACAAGGGCATGGAGTCACAGGACAAGGGAGAACGGCATCACACTGACAGAGTAGGGTTAGATTGGATATTGGGAAGAAATTCTTCCCTGTCTGGCGAGGCCCTGGCACAGGTTTCCCAGAGAAGCTGTGGCTGCCCCATCCCTAGAAGTGTTCAAGGCCAGGTTGGACAGGGCTTGGAGCAACCTGGTCTAGGGGAAGGGGGTGGCATAAGATGGTCTTTGAGGCCCCTTCCAGCCCCCTGTGCCAGGGAAATGCTTTCATCGAGGGTTTCTTCACTCCTACCTTTCGGCCCTTCTGGGGCTCATTCCCAGAGCCTCTCTCACCACCCGTCACTCCTCCACCGCTCTTCACTCACAGGTGGTTGTGAAGGAAAGCTCTGACCAATCTGCAGATATTTAATTATCTGATTGCCCTGGGTAACAGCTGGACCCCAGCACAGGGCAGGGAGGGGGGAGCAGCAGGCAGGAGGCAATGAGGGCTGCGGGGTCTCCCAGAGAGATGGACCCACGGCAGCAGGGACACAGAAATCTCCCTGTGGAGATGGGTTTGTTCAAACTCCACCTCACTCCCACCTCCAGACCTTGTTCTGCCATCCCCTCCTAATCCAAGCCCACGGCTGGTCTCCAGGACACCCGGCTGATGCAGACTTTTCCCCCTTCCTGCATGCGTCAGTGAGTTTAGAGCCCAGGTGTGATTTTTCTAGACCCTTTTGTCTGAGGTTTAGAAGCAGAATAAGCTTCATTAGCAGGAGGGAGGATTTACAATAAGTAATAGGTAGGTGCTACCTTGTGAGCCGTCAGCATTGTGCTAAATTACCAGCTGCTTTGCCGAGCTCATCTGCAAACAATCAGCTCCTCACCCAGAGAATAGAGCCTTAAACAGCTATTTCTTAAAAAAAACCCTTTGCTTTTAATCTTTATTTCCCAAAAGCTAAAATTTTGAATTAGCCCAAATGTACAAACTATAATTGCTTTGAGGTTTATGGTTCATTAGAATAATTAAAATACCACACGCTCGCTGATAAAATACCATGTCCCTCCACCACCAGGCTCTGGGTTTGTGCAGGTAAAGTCTTCCCTTGGCTACAGACCCACCTGATCCCTCGATGTGCTGAACTGCTGTCAATGAACCAGGGGGTTTGAATGCTTTTTTTGGAACCCCAGTCCAACTGCAACCCAAATCCAACCCAATCCAATCCAACACAACCCAATCCAACCATAAGACAACACCAAACCCAATTCAACTCAACCTAATCCCAACTCAAACCCAACCACGACCCAACAAATCCAGCCCAACCCAATTAATCCAACCACAATCCAACCCAAGCTAATCCCAAACCAAATTGAACCCAATCCAAGTGCAACCCAACACCAAGCCAAAACCAATCCGAGTAAAATCCAACCCAAATCCAATGCAAACCCAACCCAACACAATCCCAAACCCCACCTGATCCAACCCACCCCACCCAAAGCGCCCAGCAGGGCACTGGGAGGTGTGACAGGAGCGCTGGGAGTAGTCTGGGCGCTCTCAAACCATCTGAGTTGCTTCACTTGCTGATTCAAAACTCCCAAAAATCAGTAAAGAGACAAGGGCAGCCTGACCACAGGCCTGTGGGGACCTCAGAAACACCACATGTGTCAGTGGCCACTGGGACACTGGGACCAAGGCTGGCCCGTGGTGGCCTGGCCATGGCCAACTTGTGAGACTTGTGTCCTTGACCTGAAACATGGCAGGGCTGCGCTGTGAGACTTGTCCAATGTCAGTTCCAACAGATATTATTGCACCATCTCTTTTTTTTTTTGGTTTAATGCCCGAAATGACAGGCCAGGGACCGTGAGAGAGGCTCTGCCCATGGGCACTGCCACCACCCAGCTTTCGTATAACTTTGACTGATGACTTTAATATTAAGCATCAAATGCCCTGTCAGGCTGGTTTAAAAAAGTATTTCCTATCTTTAATTTGTCTTGGAATAAACTGATGTTTACGACACTATTAAAGCTGGCCCAAAAAGGGAACACTTAGTAAGCGTTCCAGCCAAATTTTTCTTTTTGGAAAGTTTTAATTAAAAAAAAAATATTCCACTGGCTCTCCTGTAAGAGCAATAACTTAGGCTTGATTTCCCTTTCCTCCAGGAGACGTCTTGTAAATATGTCTGCATGGGACTTTTGTTCCCAGAAACCCTCTAGGTAGCACATCCAAAAGCTCCCATGTGCCTCGGAAAAGGAACTTACTCCCGTCTCAGAGTAACGGGAGCATCTGAGGAGCCAAAGGGGGACACTGCATGGAAAGGTTTTGTGGGGACACGGCTGGCAACAGCCCCCTGGCACCGGGTGGGCTGTGCTGGTGCTCACACAGCATCGCTAAACAGGCCCTTAAATACCGTGTCCCTAAATAGTGCCTTTTGGAGTGGTTTTGGCGTGTTTGCAATTCCCATTCATCCACAGCATTCTCTGCTCTGGCAGCATCCCGTGAAGGCAGGAGTGATGATGGAGGAGCAGCTCTGGATGGGACAGTCCCAAACAAAAGCAAAGAGTGGTGACAGGAAATATTAAGCATTTTAAAAAAAATCCTTTCCATTAGTCCTTCCCATCCCTCTCCTAACCCTCTGGGAAGGTGTTTTGTTACACCTGCCCCAGGCAGGGCCAGTGCCAGCTCCAAGCACCCCAAGGTCCCAGCACCAGCCGCAGCCATGGAGTGATGCCGAGGCAGGATAAAGCCAGACCTCATCTTATGCCAGGGCTGGATAAAGCCCAGCCCCATCTGATGCCAGGACTGGATAAAGACTGGCCCCATCCTCAGCTTCAGGAAAACCAAGAAACAGCACAAATGTTGACTATTAAATCCAAGGATGGACATGAACCAGCAATGTGCCACTGAAACACTGAAACACTAAAACCTCTCACCCTCTTCTTCCAACACTTCAGAGCAGAGACCACCAGGCAGGTGGGGAACTTCACCCCTGCTGAAACCACACCAGGCAGGTGAGGAGCCCAGAGCATCCCTCAAGGCACTGGGGTGTTATGGAGAGGGTGTGATCCCCTGGGAACAATCTGTGCTGCCTGCCCCAGAAAGCAGAAAAAAAATGATTGACTTTTTCCTCTTTTTTTTTTTTTTCCCCCAAGACAAAAGCCCAGGAAGTTTAATTACTGTGGAAGAAACGTGAAGAAGGCTGAAATTTCAGCTCCCTCTTCTCTCAGTGACACCACAGAGCAAACGAAGCAGCAGCCCAAGGCTGGGGGAGGTGGGGGATCAGGGTGTTTGGGAGCGTCTCTGTGACCGGTTTCAAATGTCCTTCACTTCTCTCATTACAGCTCTTCTAAAAATATCAAATATAGATCTTTCCCTCATAATATTTTAAGATACTCTATTTATACATTAATTCTTTCAAAAATAAAAAGTGACACATACAGCAATTCAGTCACTCAGAGTCTTAAAAATTATTACAAAAAGCCACGACATCCATCCCCAGGGCGGCGGCAGCGGCGCTTTGGTGCAGGACTCACCACTGCGGGCTGGGGGTTCTTTTGAGACTTTCTTTTATAAAATATAATAATTCCAGCTCTCAATATCCTGGCTCTGCAGTCAAACAGGGCTCCTTCTTCCACCCTCCCCCATAAAAATGATCTGGAATGATGAGGGACTTGCACACTCGCTCTGCCGAGCCCTCACAGTGTGTCCACGGAGGCAGGAGCATCCTCTGAGGGCAGATGGAGCTGAAGGACTCCTCCTTTCCACAGACCCTAGGTTGGCCACACCAACAGCAAATGCTCTGTGAGGATGGAAATAATTCACCTTGTACAAGCAGCACTGCACAGACTTGGCACAGACAGACAACACACCAGGCTGCAAGCAAGGAGATGCCTAAAAAACAGCGCTGGAGAGTGGCAGACACAGCTTCAACACGGCACATCAGCAGCCTGGGCACTGGTGGGCGCATGGATGTGTCTGTGCAATGGGAATTAGGAAGTGGAGGTACCAAATAGCCAAAAAACAGGAGCAGGGTTTGTCTGGGGCTGCACCAGGAAGGCAGCATGGGCTGCTCACCTCGCCCAGCACTGAGGTTTATCTCACAAAAATCAAAATCCTTAAAAAAAAAAAAAAACAAAAAAAAAAAGAGCTCGAGAGGTTTGGTCCAAAATATCCTTACTCTGCCATGCCAGCACCTGCTGAGCCCCACCAGCCCTGAGCCCCCAGAGAGCCCACCCAGGGCTCGCTCTCGCCTGCAAGACCCGGCACTGCGGTGGCACGAGGAGGGCGGTCGCCTCACCGGGGCTGCCCAAGTCACCACGGGGGCTCGGCCCCCTCAAAGCGCTGCTGCAGCCCCAGCCTGGGGTTTGGTGTCAGCCGAAAGCACCCCAACCCTTCCCCTGCCCCCAAGGTCAGGGTGCTCCCTGGCAGCATGGAGAGTGTCGCTCAGGCCGGTTGGAATGCAGGGAAGGATCTGGGAGCACAGGACTGGCTGCTGGTCGCTCCTCCTTGGCAGGAACACTGGTGAGTGGGGGTCCCCCAGCTCCCACTGATGCTCCACGCAGCCAGTGAACGGTCCTGCTGTGAGGAACATCCTGCTCAGGGGCTCTTGTGCCATTCACAGTCTGCAGGCTCAGCCGCTTGGAGCACTTGGTTGCAGTGTGGAGCTGTCCCTTTCCTGGTTTTCTCATCACTGGGATGCAGGCTTCAGGCATCTCTCCATCTCCCCAGGACTGCTCCCATGCAGCCCTGGAGCACACACCGGGAGGAGAGGAGCATGTCATGATCCACACAAACATCCATCCAGCGGGCACAGGGATGTCCTCACCCCACGTCACACAGGGGCCTGCAGGACTCCGCCATGGATACCATGGAACACTCAGCAGTGGCGCTGCACAAACCCACAGTTATAGGAACTCCACATAGTTCTCAGGGATCAATCCTGTCTTGCCATTGAGGGTCCCTTCCAGCCAGCCAGGCTCCTGGGATGGGTGAACTGTGGAGAGAAAGAAAGGGCAGGTCACTACAGGAGGGGACTGGGGCTGCTGCTCCTTGTGTGCTGACCACATCAAAGCTGCTCTTGGAAGAGAGTGAGACCTTTAATTTGTGTTTATTTTTAAGAAAGGAAAACTAACAGAGTTAAAAATGAGCTTTGGGGTCCCTTCCAACCCAAACCATTCGATGATTCTGTGAACACACCAAGGGGCTCAGACAGCTGAAGTGCTCTGTCTGTGCCTGCTCTCCCATGGGACTCCTCGGCCTTTCCTTCCCCAAGTGAATCCCACCACACGACCAAGTGAGCCGCACACTCAGCTGCAGATGGCGTGTCCACATACTATCTGGAGCTGCTGGGCTGAGGGAAGTGAAGCATTTGGGATAAAAACAGGGGTTCAAAACTTTCTCCAGATGGGCTAAAATCTCTTTGAGGTTGGAGAGCATGGTCACATCGTAACCCTGCACATCCCGGCTCGGCCTTGGCCCAGTCTGGGAGGGAAACTGCATTAGCGAATGCTCCCGGCGGGAAAGCAGACCCTGCAATCTGATTGTGTGCAACCAGAAACCTGATCAGTCCTCAAAAGCCTTTCTTTATTCAATCAACTCCTGCAAATTTGCTGATTTTGCAGGAGCCAGGTCAGGGCTACACCGATGCAGTGTTTCGGAGCTGCCCCAGCCTCCCGTGACTCTGCAGGTCTGACTGTTCATGCCATGTCTGGAACCAACCTGGACAAGACACGAGTTTAACCAGAGCTCTCAAATGTGCCATTATCGACCATGTGGGTGTTGCTCACCGTGGGCAGCAGCACCCCAGTATCCCCATTGGATTAAGCTGCTGCTTGGTCACAAAGCTTAAAGTCCAACTAGTACCTGTCTGCATGTATTTCTGAGATCTGTTTGCCTTTGCTGGGGTTTGTAAAGCCCCTTGATCACAGCAAGACTCCCACCAAGCTGTGCTGGTTCTAACTCCAGCCAACGTGAGCCCCGACTGCACTGCTGAGTGACTGGAACACACTGTGTACTTTTTCCCTTGAATAATCCATTGATTTTTATCAGCAAACATAATGTATTTAATTCAAACTTGTTCCCCTCCTAATTCCCCTCCGAGCTGCTCTGATTCCCACGGGCTCTCAAAGGGGAGACCATGTTTATTTATTAGATGACTATGGAGCTGTTTAGATGAGGGGTTGTCTTTAATTCACATGGACTCATTATCTTCCCCTTTCTGCTGTATTCTCCTCTATATCCCAGGGCAAAACCAGTGTCTGTGGTAGCAGCTTCCCAAATGACAATGCATAACATATAAAAGCCAAGAACTACTTGGAAAGTAGTAAAAAATCTTTTCTTTACACTGGGATTATAACTAAGCCAGAGCTGCTCAGTTCCATGGGGCACAGATACTTGGTGCAGGAAACAGAAAAATGTATGTTCATTAATGTTGTCTTTCACTAAGCAAAGCCCACTTATTCCAGTGCTCAGTATCCAGAGGGACAAAGCACATGATACTTTTCCATCTTCTGCATGAAACACGACAGCAACTGCACAGAATATTTCTGGTGCTGGTACGTGGAATCTAATCTCTTCTACCCAGAAGCCCTCCAGGAATGGCTCTGTGTACAGCAAACACTGGGGCAGTCCCAGCTCACTGGGTTCTCCCTTGAATTCAGAAGGGTCTGTACCCAGGGGAGGGACCTGGCACGGTCACACAGCCTTGCTCTGCCGGCAGCACCAGGCACAGCTCTTGCCATCTCGCTTTCCCAGCACTCCAGGAACAACATCCTAAATATTGCACTGAAAAATGAGCCCATGTACCCCCAGGACTCACCGTTGTCAAACACGGTGCCAGCCGTGAAGGAGAGCTCCGAGTCGTGCTCGGCTTTGCAGGCGTAGAGCGCGCGGGCTTTGCGCAGTGGGGAGCTGCAAAGAGAGGGCAGAGGTTGGTACAAAACCACCCAGACAGACCAGCACCCCCTGCTGTGCCCAGGGGCGACCACGTGCTTGTTGAAGAGGGGTCCAAAGGCCTCTGCTGCTCTGTGAGGGTCCATGGCTACACTGCTTGGGGGAAGCATGAAGAAGACACCAGATGAAGCTGAAGGTTCTTGGGGATGAGCCACATTTCACTACAAGGTAAATCCCAATCTGACCCCAGCTGGCACCACGAGGACTAGAGCCCAGACTGGTGCCCACACAGCAGCAGCCCAAGCCAAGGTCCCCAGGAGAACTCCAGGCACTGGGTTGGAGCTGGAATGTTCTGTGAGTCTCTGAGGGGCCATCACCAACCAGAGGCTGGCACAGAGCAAAGGTGTCACCAGCCCCATTCTGCCAAACCCATCACTCCCGGGTGCAGCTGCAACCACAAGATTTCTCAAAGAAAAATCAGCACTGGGGGAAAGGTATTTCAAAACAGAAAACCAAGCAGGTCCATGAAGAATTTGCTGCACTTCTTTAGAGACTGTACCAGAAGGTAAAAAAGATTTAACAGCCATTAGATTTTGCTGGAAGTGTCAGCGTGCCCACGCTGCGGGGGAGGGAATCAGAGTGCAGAGAGCCAGGAATGGAGCGATCCACTGACAGAGCAGGGAAAATGAGGGACCTCACGGTCCCCCCAGCAAAGTGGAGGCATACAAAGCTGTCCCCACACATGGAGCCTCCTGGCTTTGGGCTGGAGCAAGGCTGGTGCAAAGTTGGGATACTGCCACGCTTCGGTGACGGTGGCGGTGACAGTGCCAACCTGCCCAGGCACTGGGCCACCCCACCAGCCAGCTCCATCCAGCACTCTGCAGGCTGCTCGGCTGGGACACGGCCAAGAGAAGTGATGGAAGTGCCCCTGGGAGCTGCTGGGGTGGGGAACAAGGCGTCACCATTCTCAGGTCAGTGCTTTCACCAGCTTTTATCTTTCCAAGGACTTGAACTTCCTCAGAGTTCCCTCTGAGCAAGCCCAGGGAAGCGGCAGTGCTTTGTGGCAAAACCAGTTCCCTTTCACAGCAAATCCCAAACCAGGGCAGCTGTGAATGGTTTTGGCTTTGCAGTGAAGAGAGCCCTGAAATGAAGGTCTCTCCTCTCAAAATTCCAGCTGCCTGACACAAGCAGCTCCCAAACACTTAAAACCCAGGATGGGCAAACAGTCCTCCCACTCCAGAGGGTCCTTCATTGCCAGGGAGGCACCACTCACGTGGAGTGCTTAAGAGACCATCAGATGAAAAACAAAAGGCTTACTACCTTGTTTATTCAAGTTGTTGGTTTTCTCCCCAAAAATCAACCCTTGCAGCCTGGTGTCCCTGGGCCCAACCTGCTCCTTGCCCACTGGCTGCTCTCTCGCTGCCACTGTGCCCAGCCAAGCCCTGTGGGGCTTTTGGGGACCCTGATGGTTGTTCTCATTCAGTTCCTGCCTCCAAGCATGGTCCAAGGTCAGCATGGCACTCCAGAGTGTCACTCATCTGTGCTTCTGTGGGCACTTGGGGGATGCTGAGCCTGTCCCTGAGGAGGAAGGCTGCTCGCAGGGCATCACGCACTGGCAGCCTCTGCGGACGTGCAGCAGAACAAATCAATGCCCTGCCAAGGGGCAGGAGCATTTGTGTGGCTGCAGGTGTGAGGGAAGAGCTTGGCCTGTGCCTGGCACCACCAAAGAGGTTTGGCACATCTCCCAAGTGCAGGGATTGGTGCCCCAGCTCTGCACCTGCCAAAGACTGGGAGCCACAATCCGCCAGGAATGGCAACAGCCTCTTGCTCCACTGTGCCAGGGTGGGCTCAGACAGGAGGAATTCCATTGGAGGGCACCCAGCACATGGCCCAGCAGTGACACTGAGTGTCTGCTGGGACCTGCAGTGCAGGCCCTGTGTCCACAATGTGGCACAATGGCACCCCGGGGGGACCCCACAGGGCTGGCACGCAGCACAGCCTGACCCACTGTTCCAGGGGCCACTGGGAATCCTCCATTGGTCCATCTGCAACTTCCAGGACCAATTTGCTCCAGAGACGTCCAAGCACACAGACGTGGGCAGAGAGCAGCAAACACCTGTGCTGCCCCATGTCCTTCACCCTCCTCAGATCCCAAATGAAGCAGTGGCCAGAAAATGGGGGATGACTGTGCTTTTCAAAGGCTCTTTACTCCTTGTAGTACACTTCTTACCTGCTGCAGAGCAGAGTAAAGCCAACTCAGGAGCTGAAGTGGCCAGAGAAAACCACCAAGACCAGCAGCGACACCAGGCACTGCGGCCACGACCTTGTGAGCACCAGCTCCTGCTCGCCTGGGCAGGAGATTCCCAGAGACCCAGGGGGGTTCAGAGAGTCTCTCCTGGGGCAGAAGGGTTTGAAAGCTCCTCTCTTGCTGAGTGCAGACAGCTGTGTTGCAGGGGTTTGAGCAGGATGCAAAGGGAAAGGGAAGTGAAGTGGGAGAAACCAGGGAAATTAAACAGAAATAGCAAAAGCAACAAAAAGCAAAGCGAATTGTGCAACAGACCTGATGGGGGATGAGTCGCTGGACGTAGAGGAGGTGGGCATAGGACTTGATGGCGCGGAGAACATGGGCCAGGACGGTGAGAGGGGTGACGTTGGGCTTGGATTCTGAGGGCTGCAAGACATAACCAGAGACCTTATCAACGTGCAACCACAGCAACAAACAGCAACCGAGAGACAGTGAGACGACAGCCGACGATAGCAAGTGCCTTGGGAATATTCAGAGCATGAGACACAGCTACGAAATGAAGTGCCAAGACCTTGGGAAGTGTTTCAAGGCCAGATCTGCATTTCTCTGGACAACAAGAGCTGGATCTTCCAATTAACCCCTGATCCATCGTCCCCTCTGCCGAGGAGGGGTCTCACTGCTGGCAAGCCAGCCACTTACCTGCCTTGTATTTCCCCCAGTGCTGCCAGAAATAGCTGCTGGTAGTTCTGGACATTAATGATGCCTGTGACCAGCCTCCACCCCCTCTGTATGTCACTTGTTGCAGTGCTCATGCAGTTGGTGCTATAAAAATGTCATTGATTATGTTTTCCACGTTTTACATCGCAGAACTCTTTTTTTTTTCCCCTCATGCAAACAGCTCTTCACTTTCAAGACACAGCTGTCAACTGAAACTGAATCAATTTACTGAACTGGTAAATGCATGCAGAAGTGTTTGGTTCCTTCAAAACTGTTCGATTCAGGTCATTCTCTGGTTCGCTGAAAAGCAATTATTGTACTAAAATACCAATTTGACTCTGATTCATCTACTGTTTCTATGTTTAGGAACTCATTGGTATTCCCTGTCCAATTCAGATTATAAACTCTATCCCTGATAAAACAACAGAAAATCCTCTCCCCACTGCAAATGCTTCTGTAAAAGCGAGAAGTTTTGTAAAAGCACCATGGTTTATGTTTTTTCCCTTGCGAGAAGGACTACCTCTGATCACATAGGTCTGTGATGAGGTGGGCACAACCCACTGGCGACCCCCAGGATGTCCTCATCCCTGTCCCTGAGCTGGGGCCTCCCAGGGGAGGGGGAAGGGATACAGGGAACGGGGGCTTCAGAACATGTGGGAGAACCTCAGCCCTGCTGGAGCAGTTCAGACCAACAATTTAACCTTCTGTAGTGTCCTCTGGCTGCCACCGCACAGGGATATTCATGACATGGACACTTTCCCCCTGGAAATTGGACCACCCCTGCTTAAGGCCAAACTCTTGGCTTTACTCCTCATAGGAGCTGTGTCACTGGATTCAACAGACATTGATGAATTACAGGCAACACCTTTATTATGTCAGAGGATTATATGCGTATAGAAATGGGATACGACAGTGCAGCACCAGAGGCTGGAAAACAGGGAATGCTCACAGGCAGGCTACAACCAGAGATCCTCAAAATGTTCTGCTAATAATAATCGTTATTTAAGAACAATTTTTTTGCATTTCTTATCAATAAAACTGTCTGTCATTTGAAAAATGAGTAATTACCTGTTTACCTTGGTCTTTAGCGAACCTGACAGCCATTGGTACTTACCAGATACTCGACCTACTGCTACCTCCAAAGAGAAGGAGGTGCTACCAAGACCACCAAGTCATCCCAAATTGCCAAAATTAACCCTTCAAGGACCAGTTCTTGTGAACAGATGGCACAATAATTCCCTTCTCCAAGAGGAGCCTGGCCAAGGTGGAACTTGGAGGGGCGATGAGCTGGAGACCAAAATGTGGCTGGGCCTGACCCACTGAGAGTGGCCACCAACACCCACCAGCCCTCTTGCCACTGCGCCCACCGCAGCTCCAGGCAGAGGGCTTAGGGTGCAAGAGGACATCTCACTGGGTGTGTCAGTGTGGGATGGGGCACCGTGACATCCCACGGGGTGCACCAGCGATGGGACAGCCACCACCTCCACCACTGACCTTGGTTGTCCTCACTGCACGACAGAAGGAAAATCCAACTGTACAGGGCTCTGGGACTAGAAATTCCCAATGCACTTTCTGAGATGAAATCATGTCAAAAGAATGCAGCTCTCACTTCCCCTAAAGTCGCTCTGTCATCGCTCCACAACTGCGCACCCACTACGCTAATGGCAGTGGGGAATGCAATCAGCAGGACTCTAGATGTCTCTGCAATGGTGGGTAAAAAAGCTCGACTGCAAGCACTGGCACTCAGGCCAGCCTCTGCCTAAGAAGTTATCAATAATTTGGAGTAGTATTTTGGTGTCTTTGGATCCTTGGTGGCAAAGAAAACACTCTCCATGCCCACCAAACCAGCAGAGAGAACTGTTAACTAATTGGTGTGCAGACCACTCTGTTCCCATCAGGTTGCTCACAGAAGAGATGAACATGGTCTTACAATGGCTGATCTGCTCCTGTGCAGCTCTGCAAGTCCGTCCAGCACATTTCCTCAAGAAGAACCCATGGATACCTCAGGACCCACCTGAGCTGCAGCCCAGCACTTACAGACCTCAGGGTATGATGCACACAAAGGGTTCATCTCCCTTCCATGAAATACAGGTATTTATTTTCAAGATGCTGCTTGAATATCACCTTTCTGAGCTTATCTAAGTGCAAGAGCCGAGTCCTGTCTCGTTGGAGATGTCAGTGCATGCGACCAAATGGACTATCCCAGCATCTCTGGCATTTTGGAAAACAGTTTTCTTGTAGGATCCAATTTCCTTTGTTTCTCATGAAAAGAGTAGAGCTGGTGAGAGGCTGGGGGGAAGTGCTGGCTGCTGCCTGCAGGCAGCAAATGTCATCTGGACCTTTTTTTTCTTTCTTCTTACTCGCGAGGGCTTTGCAAGGGGCTCTTCCTGTTGGGTGCACAGTGGAAACAAAACAGAGAAAATTGCTAAGAACCAAAACCACCAGAAGCAGCAAACAAAGAAGTGGCTCAAATTAAGAGTCTTCCAAGGTGGGAATGGACATTTCCTCAGCAGAAGCAGCCAAGGGAACTCCATGATTCTGTAGCCCAAGGCATCCCGAGGCTCTCGCCTTTCCTGCTGGTCCGTCTGTGCCTCGGAAGCAGCGACTGAGACCCCGTGAGGAGGGACCTCTGCCAGGAACGGGCAGGGTGAGGAGGGTGTTGTGCCACAGCCTCTGCGGGGGCACCTGCACCTTCCACTGCATGTGGCAATCCCTCTGACAATCCCACTCTTCCAGCAAACAGTGTACTTAGAAATGAATTTAGGAGCTAAATCCTCCTCCCTGCTTCTCGTGCCTGCCATACACACTGCCTTTCCCATGCAGATGTCTAATTTGCTGCCCAAACATGTTAAAAAAAGCAGTAACTCTTGCTTCAAAACTCTGCTGGAGTTGCTGGAGCTAAAAAATCTCTCTTCTAACCTGTTTTCATAACCTGCCTCTTTCATTCCTCTTCCTCTGCAATCCGCCCCGGCTGCCTCGCTTTCCTCACCCAGCTCAGGCCCTCCAGGCATGTGCAGCTCTGAAGGACTGTTCTCAGTGGGTTTCCAGACAACTTCTGCTGCTTTGTTCTCTGGGCTGAGAGGACATCGGTTCCACTTCAAACATGTTTACAACTTGTTGTTTATTTTTGTGGAACTTGGGGCTATTTCTGACACAGAACATCTCACAGCTATGGATGGGCAGAGCCCACTGAGGGATTAAAGCCCTTTCATGAAATCACCTCAAGAAAAACAACAATATTCCCTTTCTGACATGATCAGTACCTGACTGCAGCATAATACATCAAGGATCATCCAGCCCTTTACTCCCTGATCCATTCCTCTAGAACAAAGCTGCAGAACATAAGGTTCTTCTCAAAGATAACCAGAAAAAAGAAAATTACAGTTTTACGTAATGCCAGGGCACTTCAACTCTGCTGAAACAAGGACAAGACTGCAGGTCCCCAGCAGACATGGCTCTGTTGCCTGAATGAAATCGGATGCAGCCTTGGGTTGGAAAGCTCATGGAGCTCATGCAGTGCCACAGGCCCTAGCAAAGCTTGGAGTAGATGGATGGGCTCTAGGAAGCAGCTCTGGGCACTGGCTGCACTGTGGGTCAGTGACACACCACCCCATACCTCACCACCAGCTCACAGGGCTCCAGACTGGCAGGGTTCTTCCTCTGTTTGGTACTTTAACACAAGAAAAATGATAAATTCTCTCCAGAGTTATTCTCTCGGGAGTTATCTTGCTGCATGGTCATTTGGGTGAAAACAATGACACATTTAGGGAAATAAGCAGACAAAATGCCCTGTGGTCAGCATTGTTTGACCAAACTGGTCAAAAAAAAGCTCAAATTCTTCAGCATGGACCTTCCCCACATCTCCATTTACCAGTTCCCCATTTCCATCTCCATCAACACAGATTACAGGATCTTCTTTCCAAGAGCACGGACGTGTCCCTCTGTAATCCTGGTGACACCCAGCACATGGGTGTGTCTTGTCACTTTGCTGCTTGGCTGAGTTCCCACATGTAGAAATATTTCCCTGTTTTAGTCATTTCATAAACCATCTAAAAGCTTTTCTACTGGAATAAGAGAGAGACCAGACGAGTTCTGACTTTGGGAAGAAGAGCTGGAGTTGTTGTCTCACTTAATAGACATTCCTATTTCCAAACGGAGCCGGATGGTGCTCAGTGGTGCAGAGGGATGTGATGACTGTGCTGGTTTGGTACAGAATTCTGGCACGGAGCTTACAGCCTGCTGTTAATGCTGGAGAAAGTGAGTGAATAAGCAATGGATGTGTTTTCAGCATGAGTAAGCGTTGGAGGCACTGCAGGAAGGAAGTTTGCAGGACCAGCATGGTGTCAGCACAGGTGTCCTCCCCAGCAGGTGAGATCCAGGTGATGGGAGCATCGTGCCATCTTAACATGGAACAGTATTTCATTAATAGTCACACAGTTCATTTATAACAGAGAATTACCAGCATCACCAGCAAGTTACCAACCCACCAGTCACTGCTCTTATGTGGGACCAGCACTGGAAGTGGGACAGGCAGGGCAGGGGAATGGAGGCAACCACAGATCCACACTAATGGGGCTTTGGGTCCTACCCAGCACCCAACCTAGACATGATAGAGAGCCATAGAATGGCCTGGGTTGGAAGGGATGTGAAAGATCACCCAGTTCCACCCCCCTCCTATGGGCAAGGACACCTTCCACCAGAACAGGTTG